ACACACAAAAAACCCCTCCCGGAAAAAAAACTGGCTGGAAATGGCAGAAATCGTACACCCCAAAACCAAATCTTCCCGGAGTGGACCACAGTCGATTTGGGCCCCCACTCCAAACCAACAGATACAGATCTAATGCCGGAAAAAAAAAAAACCCCCCCCAGTTTTCCAAACAATAACCAGCCGGGTAATTTTAATTTTTTTTTTGCCCCAAAATACAGGGGGCTAAAGCCAAACAAAAAAAACAACAAAAAAACCTTTTTATCCCTGGGGCTGCTTGCGAGGCAAAGGCAAGTTGGGTTTCACTGAGGGCCCCAAATAAAGGATCATTGGGAACAACGAAAAATTTTCCCAAAGGTTTTCAACCTTTACAGATGGACAGGGGGTGAAAAAGGCAAAAAGGGGGGGGTTGGCCTTTTACATTTTCAGAGTCCCCTTTTTTGACGAACTGCTTTAAGCCCCAAAATGACGTTTTGTGGAAATTTTTGCAGTTAAAAGGGGGGAGAACCCAAAAACCCAGTCATTTTTGGGGTTACAAGCCTCCCGGGTGCAACATTTTTCCCCCCCAATTCCAGGAACAGCTGTTTTTAAAAAAAGACCCAATGGCTGGAAAAAACTTCCCGCTCCCGCCCCCCAAAATCTTGGGTCCGGGGGGTTTCAAATTTTAAAAGGGACCTAAAATTTGGAGGAAAAATAGAAAAAATTTTTGTTGCAGGGAATAAAAACCAGGAGGGGAAACTTTGATGAAAAAACACTCAAAACGAGGGTTTTTTTTTCTCCCGCAAAAAAAATTCAATTTAAAAACCAAACAAAAAAATAGAGCCTACTAGACTGGAGAATACACTAGACCTCATCTTCCCTAACAATGATGATTTATAAGAATGTCACCCTATCAAAAAACAATATACTCGAACACAACATAATTGAGGTTCAGCATGTATGCGTTGGGGGCCTCAGACCCACAAAAAAGAGGGTAAATCACGAGGGAGCATTCCCCCCAAAATTTAACTTCAAAAACAAAAAAATAAAGTGGGGCCAAGTAAAACCCAAATCCAAAACCCATATAAGCTTTGGAAAAAAGGGTTACTAAAACAAAAAAACCGGGGGGGCCCCCAAACTTTATGCCTAGAACAGATTAATCGGTGGCACTCGTGTATGCCAAGGCTTAATTTTCCCCTAAGGGAAAAAGGGGGGAGTAGATGTAAAAAAAGAAAAAGAAAGGGCTCCCCCTTTTCAGGCGACGGAAAAAAAAAAAAAAGAGCGGCTAAAAGGGGTCCAATATTTTCAGAAATGGCAGGGAGGCCACTGGTCAAAAGAAATAGCAAGCTCGGAAATTAAGCTAAAAGAATCCTTTTGGAGTCAGGAATCGGGGAAGGGAAACTAAAACCCTAAAAAGAAAAACGAAAGAAAAACCCCAAAATATTTCTTCTCCTATGCCAAATCAAAAAAGGAACAACGTCCCAGTATTGGGCCCTAATTTAAAAAAGATGGGTCCCCACACAGATGGCCGCAAAAAAATGAGGTTAACTACCCCAAGTCCCCAAAATGACTATTTTTTGCAAAGCCGGTTATTTCAGCTCCCCCCAGTTGTTTTATTTTGTCTTGAAATTAAGATTTTTTGATAAAACCCCAAAAATTTTTTAAAAATCAAACCCTTTTGGTGTTTCCGCCCCCTTTTACTTTTGTCAGGCGAAAAAATCAAGCCATTTCCTTCTTCCCCCCGGGCCCGATCATGGTAAATCCAAAAAAACTCGGTTTTCCTGGAAAATTTTCAAAGAAAAAGAAAACCCTTTTACTTGTTTTTCCATTTTTGGGAGAAAGGGACCCCGGGAAGGGGGGTCCCTCGTTCTAAAAAAACAGGGGCATAGCCCCAAATCCCCAAAAAGGGGGCCCCCCGGGCAAGGGTTCAGCAAACAAAAAATCGACCAATGGCTAAAAATCCCATATTTAAAAATCTTTTAAATCTAGGAAAAAAACCCACCATCGAAACCTCAGAACCCAAACCCTGGGGGGAAAAGGCGTCCCTCGTTTCCAAGGATCAAATACACACCAAAATGCCCCTAGGAAACAAATTAAAACGTTTAAACAAACCGGGCCGCCACACAAATTTTGGCCGGCGGGGCCCCTTCCCTCTGGGAAAAAGGTAAATTTACCTGGCTTTTTCCCCAAATAAAAAGGGAAACCTAGGACCAAAAAAGGTTAAAAGCCATCTAGGGGAAAAAAAAGAAACGCGAGTAAAATCCCCTCGCCCCTTTCAAAAGCCTTTGGGCAAAGGTGTACCCCTTTGGGTTTAGCGCCAATGGCCCCCTAAAGGAATTAACAGGAAAAAATTGGGGGAATTTTAAAATTTCTTCAAAAAACCAAAGAAATTTTCAAAAGAGTAAAACAAACCCGTAGGTTGGGAAAAAAACTTTTTGGGTTCCAAAGGCACAATTTCTCCATCTTGGCCTAAAACCCAACCGGCAAGACCAAAGGGTTTCACCACCCAAGGGCCCTTTTTTTCCCTTTGCAGTGGGAAAAAAAAACGGATGGGAAAAAGGCCCTTTAAACAGGGGAAGGCCCAAGCCCAGGGGACATTTTAACCCCCCTTTTTCATCGGGGTGGGGAAAAAACTAATTAAAAGAATTCAAGGAGGGAAATTTTCAATTCTAGAAAAAGGGAAAAAGAGGAAAAAACAAACCCCATTCGGGTAAAAAACAAATTCTTGGGGCGGGGGGATTCCCCGGGGGGGGGGGCCCACCAAAATTTGAGGGCCGAAAATTCACCAAAACGTTTTAAAAGGACCTTTGGGAGGGAGCGGGGGACCTCCCCCCAAGGAAAAACAGGGGGTTTAATGCATTCGAGCCCAAAAAATGCCCGGGGAAGGGGGGAAACCTTCCCCCAAAACTAAGGGGAAGGGCCCCCAAAACCCCTGGAGGGCCCCTTAGGGCACTTTTTCAACATAAAATTCCTTTACTCAACCAGGGGGCCCTTTTTTGGGAGGTTTAAGCCGCAGAAAAGCCCCTGGTTTCAGGCGCGATAACCGGAGGCCCTTTAAACCGGGGCGGGGGTTATTTTTAAACCCTTTTCCCGGAAAACCCCGGAAAAACAAAAACACCCAAAAACCAAAACTTTAAAACCAACCGCCCCACACCCCAAAAACCACACAAAAGCAAAAACTTTGGGGGAAAAACGGTGGCAAAAATTCCCCCCGAAAACGGGGTTCACAGGCAAGGGAAGAAGGGAAAAACAAAAAATTTTCAAGGGGAACCCAGGAATTTTCCTGTCCCAAAAAATAAAGGGGGAATTTCCAAAAGGGCCCCCGGCAATCTTCAAGCTGGCACTGGACAAGCACCTAAAGGCAGTTCCTGATCAGCCGGGCTGTGGCTCGTACGTTGGTTTGCGTGCAGCCAGCGCAACAGCCTGGTTGATCAGGCGCTGATCCACCAGGAGGCCTGGTCACAGACCGGGCCGCGGGGGCGTTGACCCCCGAAACTCTTCCAGGTAAACTCCAGGTAAACACACAAACACATCACACACACACACCACACCACACACACACACACAACACCACACACACACACACAACACATAACGACATATAAAATACTGCGCGGAATAGACAAGGTGGACAAAGACGGGATGTTCCAGAGACGGGACACAGAAACAAGAGGTCACAATTGGAAGTTGAAGACTCAGATGAATCAAAGGGATGTTAGGAAGTATTTCTTCAGTCATAGAGTAGTCAGGCAGTGGAATAGCCTAGAAAGTGACGTAGAAACCATACATAGTTTTAAGGCGAGGTATGACAAAGCTCATTGAGCAGGGAGAGAGAGGACCTAGTAGCAATCAGCGAAGAGGCGGGGCCAGGAGCTATGAATCGACCACTGCAACCACAAATAGGTGAGTACAAATATGTGAGTACACACTCACACGCCGTTCCATCCTTGACATGTTGGGATCTTCGTGCGACGTGTCTGCCCTGTGGAACTTTTTTAGGACCGAATAAGTTTTCACATACAGTCCACAATTTTAATTAATGAAAGTAGCTGGTTTTAATATTGTAATTATTAATTTAATGTCAGGTCTAGCGTTTTGTGAGAGTAGTGGAGAAGTGGGTATCAAGGGAGGTACAGTTCGGCGACCTACTGTGACTTATCTCACCCAAATTACTTGCACGAAATAATTCAGGTAATACCCTGTGAACTTCCTGCAGGTAATTTACTCCCACAATAATAATTCACAGATAATCCAAGAAAGTTAGACAAAGTGACTTATTTCCACTATATATCTATATCCTTAATGACAAGCTGGTATTTCATATTAGTGTATGAGACATGAGACAGGCCACCGTGACTCTCGCTTCATACGGTGGGGTGTCCGGGTTCGATTACCGGCGAGGGTAGAAACATTGGGCGTGTTTCTTTTCATCGGTTGTCAATGTTCACCCAACAGTAAAATGGGTACCTGGGTGTTGGTCGACTGGTGTGGGTCGCATCCTAGGACAAAATTGGCCTAATTTGCCTTAAATGCTCAGCATAACAAGCATGTTATGCTAATGTCAGCTAGGACTGTATACCTTGTATGTGTACTTGCAGAAATAAAGATATTATTATTTTTATCCCACAGTAGTCAATCTTGGAGGAAAGTTTGGATATATTTTGGCTTGGGGGGAAGAAATTTGGAAAATTGAAATACTATTTTTCTTCGTGCGATAATTTCTGAGTATCTGGCCATATTTGCTTCAGCCCTGAAGTGAGTAAGTAAATAAGCAAATTTATTTAGGCACAGATACACATAAACACAATTATCACACATAGTGTAAATTACCTAGGATAACCAAAAAAAAATATATTAGTTAAGAATTCCCATTGGGGTTCTTCAGTGTTGATAACTTGATAATGGATATTCTGAGCAGCTTCACACTTAATGTGACTGTATATATTATACAATTAATAACAAGACAAAAATAATAATGTTATTATTAATAAATAGAAGAGTGCGCAAGCCGAGGCTCACTAAGCTTCAGTTATACACAGGCAGCCACAAGCAGGACACGCACTCGCTTTATCTTCATATATTGTGATTGTTGTTTAACTGTGGGTTTATCAACGTAAGAGATAATAAGGGATGAATAACAACTTGTATAGTGTATGTGGATAGTGATGGCAAGAGTTGAGATACAGAGAGATAGAGAGATGAAATAAGTGAGGCTGTGGTAGGAGGAGCTGCGGGAACCATTGCACGCAGGAATGGCAGCTTTCAGTATTTTAAATTGATTTTTCTTTGTTTCTATAAGTTTAACAGGCTCTTGTATATAATTATAACATTGCTAATATCTTAACTGTTTTACAGTTGCATTATTATCACTTACGGCAAGAGAGGTAATGGCTAAGTACGGTTATTTTTAAGCGTACATTGATACCTCTGCGTATATTTTTTTTTTTCCGAAATTGAAGACTTAAGTTTACTAGTCTTAGGAATACCTGTCTTGATGCTGGTAAAGGGCTCTTGCTTCTAGGAGTTGGAGCTGCTACTACCTCGGTTCAAACCAGATTACCTCCCATTCACTTAATGCTGTACGGCACTTATGCTGACAATAATAATAATAATTATTAAATACCATAATACAGGTTAAGGTTGTGCCAGAGTATCGGTCTCTGCATATCTGCTATATATGTATCTATAAGTTTATTCAGGTATAGGTACACATAAATAGTTACATAAATTATCATAAGTAGCTGCATATGTGTAGATTACCTGGGATAACCCAAGATTACCTGGGATAACCCAAGATTACCTGGGATACCCCAAGATTACCTGGGATACCCCAAGATTACCTGGGATACCCCAATGATTACCTGGGATAACCCAAGATTACCTGGGATAACCCAAGATTACCTGGGATACCCCAAGATTACCTGGGATACCCCAAGATTACCTGGGATACCCCAAGATTACCTGGGATACCCCAAGATTACCTGGGATAACCCAAGATTACCTGGGATAACCCAAGATTACTGGATACCCAAGATCTGGGATACCCCAAGATTACCTGGGATACCCCAAGATTACCTGGGATACCCCAAGATTACCTGGGATAACCCAAGATTACCTGGGATAACCCAAGATTACCTGGGATACCCCAAGATTACCTGGGATAACTCAAGATTACCTGGGATAACCCAACATTACCTGGAATAACCCAACATTACCTGGAATAACCCAACATTACCTGGAATAACCCAACATTTGTTCTATCTAGGCTGGAATATTGCTGCACACTAACAGCACCTTTCAAGGCAGGTGAAATTGCCGACCTAGAAAATGTACAGAGAACTTTCACGGCGCGCATAACGGAGATAAAACACCTCAATTACTGGGAGCGCTTGAGGTTCCTAAACCTGTATTCCCTGGAACGCAGGAGGGAGAGATACATGATTATATACACCTGGAAAATCCTAGAGGGACGAGTACAGAACTTGCACACGAAAATCACTCACTACGAAAGCAAAAGACTTGGCAGATGATGCACCATCCCCCCAATGAAAAGCAGGGGTGTCACTAGCACGTTAAGAGACCATACAATAAGTGTCAGGGGCCCGAGACAGTTCAACTGCCTCCCAGCACACATAAGGGTGATTACCAACAGACCCCTGGCAGTCTTCAAGCTGGCACTGGACAAGCACCTAAAGTCAGTTCCTGATCAGCCGGGCTGTGGCTCGTACGTTGGTTTGCGTGCAGCCAGCAGCAACAGCCTGGTTGATCAGGCTCTGATCCACCAGGAGGCCTGGTCACAGACCGGGCCACGGGGGCGTTGACCCCCGGAACTCTCTCCAGGTAAACTCCAGGTAAACATTACCTGGAATAACCCAACATTACCTGGAATAACCCAACATTACCTGGAATAACCCAACATTACCTGGAATAACCCAACATTACCTGGAATAACCCAACATTACCTGGAATAACCCAACATTACCTGGAATAACTCAACATTACCTGGAATAACCCAACATTACCTGGAATAACCCAAGAAAGTCAGTGACTCCTTGCAGACACTGCAAGGCTCCAGACAGACATCAACCAAATCTTTCAGTGGGCTGCAGAAAACAATATGAAGTTCAACGATGAGAAATTTCAATTACTCAGATATGGTAAACACGAGGAAATTAAATCTTCATCAGAGTACAAAACAAATTCTGGCCACAAAATAGAGCGAAACACCAACGTCAAAAACCTGGGAGTGATCATGTCGGAGGATCTCACCTTCAAGGACCATAACATTGTATCAATCGCATCTGCTAGAAAAATGACAGGATGGATAATGAGAACCTTCAAAACTAGGGAGGCCAAGCCCATGATGACACTCTTCAGGTCACTTGTTCTATCTAGGCTGGAATATTGCTGCACACTAACAGCACCTTTCAAGGCAGGTGAAATTGCTGACCTAGAAAATGTACAGAGAACCTTCACGGCGCGCATAACGGAGATAAAAACACTCAATTACTGGGAGCGCTTGAGGTTCCTAAACCTGTACTCCCTGGAACACAGGCGGGAGAGATACATGATTATATACACCTGGAAAATCCTAGAGGGACTAGTACCGAACTTGCACATGAAAATCACTCACTACGAAAGCAAAAGACTTGGCAGACGATGCAACATCCCCCCAATGAAAAGCAGGGGTGTCACTAGCACGTTAAGAGACCATACAATAAGTGTCAGGGCCCGAGACTGTTCAACTGCCTCCCAGCATACATAAGGGGGATTACCAACAGACCCCTGGCAGTCTTCAAGCTGGCACTGGACAAGCACCTAAAGTCGGTTCCTGACCAGCTGGGCTGTGGCTCGTACGTTGGTTTGCGTGCAGCCAGCAGCAACAGCCTGGTTGATCAGGCTCTGATCCACCAGGAGGCCTGGTCACAGACCGGGCCGCGGGGGCGTTGACCCCCGGAACTCTCTCCAGGTAAACTCCAGGTTACTATGTGAGAAGCAGTTACAATAAAAGAAGATATACTAAGAATAAATACACTGAGTTATTTACATTAATATCAATAAGAGGATCAGGTCACAGTAATAGGCGCAGGTATGTTAGCTATAACTTCAGGTCACAGTAATAGGCACAGGTATGTTAGCTATAACTTCAGGTCACAGTAATAGGCACAGGTATGTTAGCTATAACTCAGGATACAGTAATAGGCAGTGGTAACAGGCCACAGTAATAGGCACAGGTATGTTAGCTATAACTTCAGGTCACAGTAATAGGTGCAGGTATGTTAGTTATAACTTCAGGTCACAGTAATAGGTGCAGGTATGTTAGCTATAACTTCAGGTCACAGTAATAGGTGCAGGTATGTTAGCTTTAACTCACAAAATCACTTTAAGAACATAAGAAAGAAGGAACACTGCAGCAGGCCTACTGGCCCATGCGAGGCAGGTCCAAGTCTCCTACCGGCTTAAGTCAATACCCTAACCTAGTCCGGTCAGGTCACATTCACTTAAGGAAGGAACACGGCAACTGACCTAGTAGCACAAGCTAATCAGGTCCAACTCACATCCACCCATACCCACTCATGTATTTATCTAACCTATTTTTAAAACTACACAATGTTTTAGCCTCTATAACTGTTTGTTCCACTCATCCATGACTCTATTACCAAACCAGTGCTTCCCTATATCCTTCCTGAATCTTAATTTTTCCAACTTAAAACCATTGCTGCAAGTCCTGTCTAGGCTAGATATTTTCAGCACTCTATTTACATCCCCTTTATTTATTCCTGTCTTCCATTTATACACCTCAATCATATCCCCCCTAATTCTACGCCTTTCTAGAGAGTGCAGATTCAGGGTCCTCAGTCTATCCTCATAGGGAAGATTTCTGATACATGGGATCAACTTTGTCATCCTCCTTTGTATGTTTTCCAGAGCATTTATATCCATTCTGCAATACGGTGACCAAAACTGTGGAGCATAATCCAAATGAGGCCTAACCAAGGATATATAGAGCTGAAGAACAACCTGAGGACTCCTATTATTTATGCTTCTTGCTATGAAGCCAAGAATTCTGTTAGCTTTATTGCGAACACTTACGCACTGTTGTCTTGGTTTCAGATTACTGCTAATCAGAACTCCTAAATCTTTTTTGCTAAATTCATTAAGTACCTTTTGGCTCTCTTCTTGAACTGGCTCATGCTATGACACGTTTTTGACATGTGCAGGCACTCTGTTCAACTCCTTTATTGCTATACAATAAAATGCTTAAATCCTGACCACTGACTGTGGGTACTACAAAGTTCCCTTCCCACTATACTTGCTTTGGTTTCCAACCTTAACAAACTTGGCAGCAAGATATTCTGGACACTGTGAGCAATTTTATAAAGTGATTTAACTTCAGTTGTTTTACTCTGTCTTCAACATTCAGCATATCCAGTTGTTGTAATTCATTTTGGCCTACTTGTTCTCTTGGGCCCAGGTCCAGGATGAATCTCACCATTTTGTTCTGGCTGATTTGTAGTCTATTTTTCAGTTTTTTTTTTTGTTAAGGCAGAGTTCCATGAAGAGCAAGAGTAATCTATATGGCATTGCATAAGAGCTAGACATAGGGTCTTGCAAGCTTCAGTAGGTTGACACTCTGCCTGTCTGTAGAGGAACTTAAGTCTGGCATTTGCTTTCTTTACTACACTGTTCCCTATGAATTCTGACATGGGTCAATGGGGATTCCCAGATATTTCACAGAGAAACTGAAGTGTTGGGTTTCCCATGAAACTGGACATGAAAATTATTTACCTTTTTCAGTTTATTTTTCATGCCAGAGAGTATGGCTTTTGTATGTATGTGTGTGTGTACTTGCCTATTTGTGGTTGCAGGGGTCGAGTCATAACTCCTGGCCCAGCCTCTTCACTGTGTGTATGTGTATGTTTCTGTGTTTGTGTTGTGTTAATTTAGACTTTGCAGAACAAGCAAAATATTTACAAAAACTAATCTCAGGCTGAGGGTGACTTGAACCTGCAAACCTTAGAACAAGGACCAGTGTGGAATAGTTTGTATAGCACTGTGTACCTTGCTCTAAGGTTTTCAGGTTTGAGTCACCTTCAAACTGAGATTAGTGTTTATATACTGTATGTATATGGAATGGTATATAAACTCTAATTCACACACAATCACTATCTTTGCAGAGGCATTCAGATGTGACAGTTTAGATGTTACTCCAAACAACCAATATTCCAAAACCCTCCTTTCAAATGCAGGCATTGTACTTTCCACCTCTGGGACTCAAGTCCAGCTAACTTGTTTCCTTGAAGCCCTTTGCAAAATATTACCCTGCTCACACTCCAACAGCATGTCAGGTCTCAAAAACCATTCGTCTCCATGCACCCCTATCTAACACGCTCACACATGCCTGCTGTGTGTACAAACCCCTTGCACACAAAACCTTTTTACCCCCCTATATATATATATTATATATATATATATATATATATATATATATATATATATATATTTATTTATTTATTTATTTCCAATTTGAGCACACATACAGAGGTACAAAAAAATACAGATAAGAGCAGTATCCCAAAGCCACTTATACTATGCATAGCATTACGGGCTGGCTTTAAAATTAACTTAAGATTAACTAAGCAATGATGAAATCAGTGATAAAACATTAATGTAAACAGATTACTATAAAGCACAAGTGAGTATTACAAAGACAGGTCATATGGTTGCATTCAGTTAGGTAGTGATTCTGTTAGGTAGTGTATTTAAAAAATAATAAAGTTAGATTCGGTTTTAGGTTTAACATTTATGTGATATAATTGTGAGAAACATTTAAGATATACAATTTATAAGGTTCAGTTATTCAGTATTTATTTGGTTTTGGGTGAGTAAGTGGTACTAAGCGATACTAATCCGTTCCTGAGAGCTCATCGTAAACCAAAAATATCGGAAAGCAAATCAATTTTCCCCATAAGAAATAATGGAAATCAAATTAATCCGTGCAAGACACCCAAAAATATGAAAAAAAAAAACTTTTACCACATGAAATATTAAGTTTAATGCAATAGAATAGTAATTACAATAACAATAAATAACAATAAATAACAATAAATAACAAAAGAATAATTGACACTTACCTTTAATGAAGATCTGGTGATGATTGATGGGATGGGAGGAGGGGAGTGTGTGGATGGTGCTTGCATTTAGAAGGGGAATCCCCCTCCATTAGGACTTGAAGTAGCTTTTCCTCCTGAGTAATGTAGGTCCTGCTTGGTAATTTCTTTCAAAACAGGCCTGTTTTGTCACAATTAAACACTTGTTCAGGTTTCAATCCTTCAGCCTCTATGTACTCCTTGAATTCATGCACATATTTTTCAACTGCTTTGTTGTCTGAACTGGCAGCCTCACCATGCCTAATCACACTATGTATGCCACTATGATTCTTAAATCTTTCAAACCAACCTTTGCTGGCCTTAAATTCACTCACATCACCACTAGTTGCAGGCAATTTCTTTACCAAATCGTCATGCAACTGCCTAGCCTTTTCACAAATGATTGCTTGAGAGATGCTATCTCCTGCTATCTGTTTTTCATTTATCCACACCAATAACAGTCTCTCAACATTTTCTAACACTTGCGGTCGCTGTTTCGTAATCACAGTTGCACCTTTTGCAAGAACAGCTTCCTTGATTGCCGTTTTCCTGCTCATTATAGTAGAGATGGTTGATTGGGGTTTACTATACAACCTGACCAGCTCCGATACACGCACTCCACTTTCATACTTTGCAATTATCTCTTTCTTCTTTTCAGTAGTCATTAGCACCCTTGGTCTTGAAGGGTTGGCACTAGAAGCTTTCATGGGGCCCATGGTGACTTATTTTGCAGAAACAAGCACCAAAAACAGTGATAATATGGATAATATGGAATGTACTGAATGTATCCTTAGATGCACGCACACTGGCTGGCTTGTAAACACTGGACACGTCTCGTACGAATCGTATCGCATACCGGGTTTTGTAACGGGAACCGAGGCAAATTTTTGGCGATATAATGCATCGGTTACCGGATTTATCGGATACTGATAGCATCACGAACCGGGGGTCCACTGTATATAAACACTGTGACTAGCTAAGGAGTCGACCCACGCTGCTTTGGCCTACCTCATGGTGAGTGAGAGATAGATGACAGATGAGGCTGTCCAAAGCAGCATGGGTTCGACTCCTTGGCTAGTTGCAGTGTTGTTATTGATCAATACTACTCATTTGTGGTTATCATAATTATATATATATACACCTACCATCCGACTTATGACCTGCTCAACATACGACCACTCGACTTACGACCGTGTTTTTTTTTGCCAAATTTCTGGGAAATAAACAACTGTTTGTGTTGCACACAGTGTTTATCCTAAACCTTACAGTATAAAATACAGTACTAACAGCATAAAAAGTAAAGTAAAAAATGAAATACCAAAATAAAACAATAAAATAAAGTCATCACAAAAATGTGATGTTGATATTCAGTAGTAAAGTTCAACTTACGTCCATTTCGACTTACGACCGATTTCTCGGAACCGAACTCGGTTGTAAGTCGGATGGTAGGTGTATTTATTTATTATTTTTTTATTAACATATCAGCCGTTTCCCACCAAGACAGGACAGCCTGAAAAAGAAAAACTTTAATCATTCACTCCATCACTGTCTTGCCAGAGGCATGCCTACACTACAGTTATAAAGCTGCAATATGAACACCCTTCAGAGTGCATACACTACTTTCCATCTCCAGGACTCGAGTCCGGCCTGCCGGTTTCCCTGAATCCCTTCATAAATGTTACCTTGCTTACACTCCAACAGCATGTCAAGTCCTAAAAACCATTGGTCTCCATTCGCTCCTGTCTAACATGCTCACGCACGCTTGCTGGAAGTCCAAGCCCCTTGCACGCAAAACCTCCTTTACTCCCTCCCTCCAACCTTTCCTAGGCTGACCCCTACCCCGCCTTCCCTCTATTACAGATTTGTATACTCAAAGTCATTCTGTTTCGTTCCATCCTCTCTACATTTCCAAACCATCTCAGTAACCCCTCCTCAGCCCTCTGGATAATAATTTTGGTAATCCACACCTCCTAATCTCCAAACTACGGATTCTCTGCAGTATATTCACACCACACATTGTCCTCAGACATGACATCTCCACTATCTCCAGCCTTCTCCTTGTTGTGACAGTCATAACCCAAGCCTCACACCCATACAAGAGTGTTGGTATAATTATACTCTAATACATTCCTCGCTTTGCTTTCATAGATAAAGTTCTTTGTCTCCACAGACTCCTCAAGGCACCACTCACCTTTTTCCCCTCATCAATTCTACGATTCACCTCATCCTTCATAGACCCATCTGCTGACACGTCCACTCCCAGATATCTGAACACATTCACCTCCTCCATATTCTCTTCCTCCAATCTGATATCCAGTCTTCCGTTACCTAATTTTTTTGTTATCCTCATCACCTTACTCTTTCCTGTATTCACTTTTAACTTCCTTCTTTTACATACCCTACCAAACTCATCAACCAACCTCTGCAACTTCTCTTCAGAAATCTCCCAAAAGCAGTGTCATCAGCAAAGAGCAACTGTGACAACTCCTACTTTGTGTTAGATTCTTTATCTTTTAATCCCGCACCTCTTGCCAACAACCTAGCATTCACTTTTCTTACTACTCTATCTATAAATATATTGAACAACCATGGTGACATCACACATCCCTGTCTAAAGTCTACTTTTAAAGATAAAGATGTTTATTTTGACAAATTACATGGTTGTGCTGAGGAATATAATTGGGTGTACATGCCAAACCCTCCTTTGTATGCAGAACATTTTGGGCAAACTTAGAGATTAACTTAAGATTAGTAAGGCAGTAATACATACTAATTCATATGGCCATTAGACGAGTTACAGTGAGTACAGAAGAATTGTATATTCTGTCAGATAATGCTACATGGTTTTGATAAGTCTAGTAGAGACTTATTACACTATTGAATTAGTTAATAAAGATTACAGTATTACAATGTAACAATTTAAAACAATTTACAATATGATGTATTACAGTTTAGTACTATTTAAAACAATGAAATTTGATATTACAATGGAACAATTTACATTATGTATTACAATCTACTGCTATTTAAAACAATGGAAAATAGACATCCTAATTTTGAAGTAGTAAGTAGTTGAGCATTGATCAGCACAGTGAGTACATACTCTAACCTGAGCCTCATTATCCTCGTAAAAACTTTTCACTGCCTTCATTAACCTACCTCCCATTCCATACATTTGCAACATCTGCCACACCCCCCTATCCACCCTATGATATGCCTTTTCCAAATCCATAAATGCCACAAAAACCTCTTTACCCTTATCAAAATATGTGTTTCACTGTAAACACTTGGTCTACACACCTCCTACCCTTTCCTAAAGCCTCCTTGTTCATCTGCTATCCTACTCTCCGTCTTACTCATAATTCTATCAATAATAACTCTACCATACACTTTACCAGGTATACTCAACAGACTTATTCCCCTATAATTTTTGCACTCTCTTTTGTCCCCTTTGCCTTTATACAAAGGAACTATGCATGCTCTCTGCCAATCCCTAGGTACCTTACCCTTTTCCATACATTTATTAAATAAAAATGCTAACCACGTATAAATTTTGTTGCAGATTTATGCTCATTTTGTATTTGATACCATAAATATTGCTCTAATCTGGTTAATATTGCAATTTCTAAGAATGAATGTCAAGAATGAAGAGTATATAAGAGTGGGAATGCTGTTGAGAACTTTTTTAATAAAATCCTATGGTTTGTTTTCATTTGGAGAATTTAACCAAGCCTAAGAAAATGGTTACTAAGAGAAAATCTGTAGATAATGGAATCTATTCATGGGTTGCCCATTAGTAAAAACAGATAATCAAATTTCACAAATAAGTAACCCTACAAATTTTGGGGAAGATCTGTACATGTAAGATTTGTTCATTACCATAATTATGTTGGCAGTATGTTAAGGTTGGTTACACATTTTCTTGGCTATGTTACCACTTCCCCCCAAAATATTTTTTCAGATTTTCACTGGATTCGTACAACACAATGTCTCGTGGTAGAGAACGTGACCGCCGTCGCTCACGTAGCCGCAGTAGGAGCAGGAGTAGGAGCAGGTGAGTTTAGTGTGCTGGTAAAAGAAGCCCAATTTGGTTAAAATGGTAGCTAAAATGGTAATACAAATTAAAACTTCCTAATTTGCTTGACAGTTGATCTTTAATGTGGTGTTTTTGTTTGTTTCACACCTCTGTATTTGTATAAATTAAAATCTTTGGTTCCAAAGAATTGGAGTTAACCTTCCCCTTCCCTTTCTTGGACTAAGCTTTATTTTCTCCCATTTTCCAGATGTTACATGACTTGTACAGGTTGAGTACTTCCTATGAGCATAATATTCACTTGAACTATTTTATGATTTATAAGAATGTCAGCTCACTATTGTACAGTTAGGTTTCAGTGCAAATGATAAATCCCATGAGGTGGTCACATTACAGTGGACCCGGGGCTAAGACGTCATCGGAATAAGTAATATTCGGAATAAGTAATGTTTTTCCGTTAAAATATTTCCTTTGTGAATGTCACTGAACTCGGTATAAGTCATTTGTGCCGAGGCTGCTCAGGCCCCGACACTCCATGTACAGCCAGTGTACCATTGTTTACCAGCCAGTGAGGACAATCCCATGCGTTCATACGATACATTTTGCATTCCATTCTTTTTAGTGCTTGTAACTGCTAAATAAGCCACGAAGGGCCCAAATAAAGCTTCTAGTGCCAGCCAGCCCTTTGGTAAAGGGCAGAGAAAGAGAGGGGAGAATGTGCCTTTTTCAGTGATTATGCAATATGTACGATACTAAAGCAGCATGAGTCTATAAGGGCTGTAGTGCCAGCCAGCGATAAAATGTAGCATTAACAGTGTAGCAAGTAAGTTAAGCGATTAATCGATAGAAAAAGGACGGCACAAAACTGACTCCTCCATTGTTGTTGGAGATATATAGGGCTATTGACTAACACCGCCGCCTCTGCTGCCGTCTTCACCACCACTATGTAAGGCTTATCTTTCAGTGGCCCTTATACACCCAACAACAAACAACACATCACCACTCGTGACATTCTTAATGCCATATTTTATCCATTCTAGAGTATACATGTATATCATGTTTCTGTTATTAATATTGTCATAGTAGATGAATTGTGCTAGATAAACTGTAGAGCTGATATTAGTGTCATATTGAAGGACTATCTCGTCCTGTCTCCCAACACAATTCCTAACATACGGCAGAAACAGACCTCTCTGGAGCACTTTTTTGAGCAACGGGGGTCCAGTGATTCCCAAGCTGGTTCTAGTGGCATTAAAAAACAAGGGAGGGAAGTAACCCAGGATAAGGACTTGGTACCTGAAGTCTTTATGGAGTGGGATTCCCCTTCCAAACAATTGTAAACTTCTCCATCCTCTCCCCTCCTCCTGTCTTCCATAAGAACATAAGAAAGAAGGAACACTGCAGCAGGCCTAACCCCCCCATCCGGATTAGCCCATTGACCCACCTAGTCAGGTCACTTATAACCCATGCAAAGAAGGTCCATCCCCCCCCCCCCCCCAGATTAGCCCAATGACCTACCTAGTCAGGTCACTTCCACTTAAGGAAGGAGCAAGGCATCAGACCTAGTAGCACAAGCTATTCAGGTCCAAGTCACACCCACTCATGTATTTATCTAACCTATTTTTAAAACTACACAACGTTTTAGCCTCTATAACTGTACTCGGGAGTTTGTTCCACTCATCCACAACTCTATTACCAAACCAGTGCTTTCCTATATCCTTTCTGAATCTGAATTTTTCCAACTTGAAACCATTGCTGCGAGCCCTGTCTTGGCTGGAAATTTTCAGCACACAATTTACATCCCCTTACGTCACCATGTCTTCAATAACGATAAGTGTGATGTTGTTATTATTTTATTCTTCATGTATCATTGTTGTCTGTGTAGAAAAAATGTATATTTCATGTAGAAAACTTTTTTTAATACTTTTGGGTGTCTGAAACGGATTAATTGGATTTCCATTACGTATTTCTTATGAGGAAAATTAATTCAGAATAAGTCAGATTCAGGATAAGTCACTCTCTCTGGAACAGATTATGTATTCTGGGGGCCACTGTATTTGAATTTTCACCATCTGAATTTAAGTGTGTAATTTCTGTGCATGATTTGAAGAGTTTGTGGTAATAAAACTAGCATTATTTAATTTCACACTAAAGACTCATTCCATGTCAAGTGAACCAATTTTGAATAACATACCCACCCGACCATCTCCAGTTTCGATAAAATTTTACATGAAGGTTGGCATGTATATCAAACTAATTTGGGAAAATTGTAGTTCATGATATGTAATAGTAGTAATGCTATGACCCTCAGAGTGGAGGTAGGAGATAATTTCACCAACCCACAGCACATAGTCAACAATGTTGAGGTTATTGCTGTGGCAGATCTTTTGGAGCTGATTTAACCCTTTCAGGGTTTCGGACGTACACAGTTGTCAAGACACTTTTTTGACAACGTTAAGCTTAATTTGCAAAATACATATTGGTCTCTATCAATTCAGATAATTTTTGAAATCGCCACTGAAAATTGTGCATGGACACCTAAACACGAGGTTCTAGCTGTTGTTGCTTTATAATAAACAACAGCAACAGAAAAATGCCTGGTTTTCATTATAATGTTATGAAAACAAAAAAAATCACCTTATTTTAATACCCGTTTCCTCCTTTCAAGGGCAAAATGCCTATCCAGAAAACAGATATCTTGCATAGTTTAGAATCTGCTCTTTCTAATGAAGGTTTTTAACCCTTAAACTGTCCAAACATAGATCTACGTTTTTTTCAACATTTTTTTCAACATTTGAAAGTATGTAAAAAAAGTAGATCTTTTTTTTTTTTTTAACATTTGAAAACGTGTAAAAAAAACTTTAATCTACGTTTTCTTTTTTTGTTATATTTGAAAATATGTAAAAAAATGTAGATCTAATTTTGGAGCACTATGCATGTGAATGTAGATCTGCTTGAACAGTTTAACCCTTTGGGGGTTTCGGCCGTACTAGTACGGCTTTACACCCCAGGGTTTTTGATGTACTAGTACGCCTAAATTCTAGCGCCCTCAAATCTAGTGAGAGAAAGCTGGTAGGCCTACATATGAAAGAATGGGTCTGTGTGGTCAGTGTGCGCAGTATAAAAAAAAATCCTGCAGCACACAGTGCGTAATGAGAAAAAAAAAAACTTTGACCGTGTTTTTGGAATAAAACAGCGACTTTGCACTGTATTTTTCGTATGGTATTTATTGTTGTATTCTAGTTTTCTTGGTCTCATTTTATAGAATGGAAGACATATTACGGAAATTGAGATGATTTTGACTGGTTTTACAATGAAAAGTACCTTGAGATTGAGCTCAAAGTAGCAGAAATGTTCGATTTTTACCAAAGTTCAAAAGTAAACAAATCATGCCAAGCATCCAATACACGTCAGCTGGTGAGTCTGATATTCTTTCACAAGTGCGCTGATATTATTTATACCATTTCTACACTAATGCAGTAGTCTGCATGACAGTAAATCTTCTATTTTTTTGTAAGAATAAAAATTCAAAGTGGAAAGCCAGAGAAATGTAAGAGGGGCCTGGGGACATGACTAACGAACAGAGAACTTGTTATTTTAGTGCCAGGAATGTCTTTCTTGTTTATTCTGGACCCTATTTGGAAATGGGCATCTTTTGTAATTTGTGTGAAATTGGCAAAATTGCTAAATTCTGACCACTTTATTGGATAGTTGAAATCGGTAAATGGGTGGTTTCTTGTACTCATTCGATAGACAAAATGGAGTTCTAGCGACATAGTTATGATTTTTGTCGACTAGTACATTGGAATTGACAGGAAATAGAGCTCAAAGTGGGCAAAATCGCTGATGCGTAAACATCGCCGAGACCGCTAACTTCGCAAGAGCATAATTCCGTAAGTTTTCCATCAAATTTCATACTTTTGGTGTCATTATGATTGGGAAAAGATTCTCTATCTTTTCATAAGAAAAAATAATTTTTTTTTTTTAAATTTTGGCGACCCTGAGAACAAGTCTCTGAGAGGGCCTGGCGACCTCCAAAGGGTTAAGGGGTAAGAAAATTGGTTGTGCTGCTTTTTTGCCATTGATCTTCAAAAATGGCTTAAAATTCACTATGAGGTCTGTAAGGATATTTGTAGGTACCATTAGCACAGGAACTAAAATCGTTTGGAGTCTGGTATTTTAGGATTGTGACGATGTCCACCTAGGTAGCTGGCTGCAATAATTGTCATCCTAAAATAAAGCTTTCCTTTAGAGATACAGGCAGCTGAACTCGAGATTCAATTTTGCACAATAGATTTTTTTTGCCTACTTTGGTTTCACACCGTGAAAAAACATAAAAGCCTGCAAATTTTAAGATTGCAATTTTTGACATCAGCTCCAAAAGTTGTGTAGGCATATTTACTTACACAACGTTTACTCTTCAAGATCTACCACAGCATTAACCTCATCATTATTGATTGTGTGCTGTGGGTTGGTGAACATTTCATCTGCCTGCTCTCTAAGGGCCATAGCGTTACTACTATTGCATATCATGAACTAAAATTTTCCCAAAACTAGTTTGATGTACATACCTGACAACATTCATGTAAAATTTAATTGGAATTGGAGATAGTCAGGTAGGGACCCCTGGTCCACTTGACATGGAATGACCCTAAATAGAAATTTGCATTACATATTTGAATCCCAGTAATTGAGACCTGGCTGTATATAATTAAATTTCAGTATACTGTACTGTAATTTTGCATTTTCAGGGGGCGTAGTGCTTTTTCAGGCCGAAGAGATGGAGGTGTATCAGATGTGACTTCAGATCCAAAAACAGTTAATGCAAGAATCTTTGTTGGACGCATCAATGTTTCCATGACTAGAGAAATGTTAGATGAACATTTTTCACAGTACGGCAAAGTGGTTGGTAAGGATCTAGTGGTTCGATTTATTTGTAAGTACGTGAAAAAATTATCGTATTTCGCGGCTTATAAGATTTGTTTTAGTTTCAATGGCTCAGTATTGGACGTAACTGGGAGAGCTATAGCCTACCTGACACCCCAGACTGATAGCTCCCATCACTGACCTTCAATTTATAGGATGCAGGATGATTTTTGGAGACATTTTGTGGGGAAAAAACATGCGACTAATAAGCCGCAAAATACGGTATGTTTAAGCTGATATAGCAGCTGCATGCATACAACCTCTTCTCTCTAGCGACGTACTCGTTTACTGACCGCTCGAATTTACAACAAACTTTCCGACCAATGTGCAAACCTAATTAATGTATATTAGAGCTGATTTCCTCTGTTATGTTTATTACAGTATAGCCTCTCCTCACCTATGTACTCGGTTACCGACAACTCAGTGTTACGACGGGCTCGCCAGTGAGCCTGTATTGTATACTGTACAAGAACTTGGGTCATGAATAGGCAGCACAGCGTCTCAGCGTCAAGCATCTCAATCTCCTTCCTACAGCCACTCAGTACACTAGCTTTTACAGTCTCCAAGACTACATATTTGAACTTTATTGTGCACCCCATAGTACAAGACAGAAGTGCAGCAGCATTTCTAGGAATGTGATCTAGGAATGTTTGCCCTGATGTAAACACCATTTTCTTTCGTTATAGACCAGAGGTACAGACGAGAAAACGTACGTATCTATCTTTTGATCTTATCCCATTGCGGCAGCCTCTGCCACCTACCCTTTCACAGAATATGGCATATATTATTCATTTCAGCGTCTTTATTACAGTTCTAGGGTATTTATCGTGTTTCTGATATCAATTTGGAATAAATGTGATAGATAACCTTTATTACTAATTTTTTTTTTTTTTCAAAAAATCGGCTGTCTCCCACCGAGGCAGGGTGACCCAAAAAAGAAAGAAAATCCCCAAAAAGAAAATACTTTCATCATTCAACACTTTCACCACACTCACACATTATCACTGTTTTTGCAGAGGTGCTCAGAATACAACAGTTTAGAAGCATATACGTATAAAGATACACAACATATCCCTCCAAACTGCCAATATCCCAAACCCCTCCTTTAAAGTGAAGGCATTATACTTCACATTTCCAGGACTCAAGTCCGACTATATGAAAATAACCGGTTTCCCTGAATCCCTTCACTAAATATTACCCTGCTCACACTCCAACAGATCGTCAGGTCCCAAGTACCATTCGTCTCCATTCACTCCTATCTAACACGCTCATGCACGTTTGCTGGAAGTCCAAGCCCCTCGCCCACAAAACCTCCTTCACCCCCTCTCTCCAACCCTTTCGAGGATGACCCCTACCCCGCCTTCCTTCCCCTATAGATTTATATGCTTTCCATGTCATTCTACTTTGATCCATTATCTCTAAATGACCAAACCACCTCAACAACCCCTCTTCTGCCCTCTGAGTAATACTTTTATTAACTCCACACCTTTTCCTAATTTCCACACTCCGAATTTTCTGCATAATATTTACACCACACATTGCCCTTAAACAGGACATCTCCACTGCCTCCAACCGTCTCCTCGCTGCTGCATTCACAACCCAAGCTTCACACCCTGACAGGGAGGCAACAACGAGTCATGGTACGTAATGATGTATCACAGTGGGCACCTGTGACGAGCGGGGTCCCACAGGGGTCGGTCCTAGGACCAGTGCTATTTTTGGTATATGTGAACGACATGACGGAAGGGTTAGACTCAGAAGTGTCCCTGTTTGCAGATGATGTGAAGTTAATGAGGAGAATTAAATCTGATGAGGACCAGGCAGGACTTCAAAGAGACCTGGACAGACTGGACACCTGGTCCAGCAAATGGCTTCTCGAATTTAATCCTGCCAAATGCAAAGTCATGAAGATAGGGGAAGGGCACAGAAGACCACAGACAGAGTATAGGCTAGGTGGCCAAAGACTGCAAACCTCACTCAAGGAGAAAGATCTTGGGGTGAGTATAACACCGAGCATGTCTCCGGAAGCACACATCAATCAGATAACTGCTGCAGCATGTGGGCGCCTGGCAAACCTGAGAACAGCATTCCGATACCTTAGTAAGGAATCATTCAAGACACTGTACACTGTGTATGTCAGGCCCATACTGGAGTATGCAGCACCTGTTTGGAACCCGCACTTGATAAAGCACGTCAAGAAACTAGAGAAAGTACAAAGGTTTGCGACAAGGTTAGTTCCAGAGCTAAGGGGAATGTCCTATGAAGAAAGATTAAGGGAAATCGGCCTGACGACACTGGAGGACAGGAGGGTCAGGGGAGACATGATAACGACATATAAAATACTGCGTGGAATAGACAAGGTGGACAAAGACAGGATGTTCCAGGGAGGGGACACAGAAACAAGAGGCCACAATTGGAAGTTGAAGACACAAATGAGTCAGAGAGATAGTAGGAAGTATTTCTTCAGTTATAGAGTTGTAAGGCAGTGGAATAGCCTAGAAAATGACGTAGTGGAGGCAGGAACCATACACAGTTTTAAGACGAGGTTTGATAAAGCTCATGGAGCGGGGAGAGAGAGGGCCCAGTAGCAACCGGTGAAGAGGCGGGGCCAGGAGCTAAGACTCGACCCCTGCAACCACAAATAGGTGAGTACAAATAGGTGAGTACCCATATAAGAGTGTTGGTACTACTAGACTTTCATACATTCCCTTCTTTGCCTCCATAGATAATGTTTTTTGACTCCACATATACCTCAACGCACCACTCACCTTCATTAATTCTATGATTATTACTATGATAAGTACTAATATGATTATTATTATCTATGATTATTACTAATATTACCATAATTACTCAACATTTTATTAGTGCCACGGCTAGTATCCAACACCCATGACAACTCACCAGATACTGAATGTGCCTGCTGGCCTCTTCCTCTCTCCTATAGCTCCTCCCACTTTGCAATAATGATGTTAGATGGTGAATTTAATGTATTAAAGAGAAAAATTTAAAAAATGAGGAAAATTTCTAAAAATTCACTACATACGTGTTCAAATGTATATGTACCTTGTGTCATAAAAATAATTTTTGTAAAATGACTATAATTCTTTGTAGAAACATGGTACAAAGATGATACCTATACCAAAATGTTTCCAGATTCTTAAACTATTTTTCTGTAAGCTTAACTCATTGTATGTGTATTTTACTTTTTTATTGTTTTCTGTAATATATGAGTTATGCAAATTAAAAACAAGTTATCAAGTTGGAGTTTCATTTTTATTTATTTTTTCTTTCTAATATATGTATTTAATTCATTTGGCATCATTACAAAGTGGGTGGAGCTATAGCAAGTGAACAGTGTCTCAGTAACTTATGATTGCCCACGACACGTGGAGGGGTGTGCCTCTTGGCACTATAAAATACAGCCTTTCCTCACTTAATGACTGAGTTCCATTCCTAAGACCACATTGTTAAAGGAATTCATCGCTAAGTGAGGAGCATACTATAATGGTAGTGAGTTTGTGTCAACCATCTTTGATATTGTTTAAATGTCACCTTTGCACTATTTATAACATTTATACAGAAGTGTATTGTATATTGAAATAGAATAGAGGAAATCAGCTCTAATAAACATTACTTAGGTATGAATACTGGTTAGAGATCTCGTCGTAAGTCCAAGGCATTGGTAAACGAGTATGTCGCTGAGGAGAAGCTATATTGTACACCTACCATCCGACTTACGACCTGCTCGATTTACGACCACTCGACTTACGGCCGTGTTTTTTTTTGCCAAATTTCTGGGAAATAAACAACTATTTGTATTGTACACTGTTTATCCTAAACCTTAGAGTATAAAATACAGTACTAACAACATAAAAAGTAAAGTAAAACATACCAAATACCAAAGTAAAACAATAAAATAAAGTCATTACAAAAATGTGATGTTGATATTCAGTAGTAAAGTTCGACTTACGACCATTTTGACTTACAACTGGTTTCTCGGAACCGAACTCGGTCGTAAGTCGGATGGTAGGTATAATTATACAGTTACTATCAAAAAAGGTTATCTACCTATCATATTTATTCCAGAATAATATCAAGTATAACATACATAATGTAGGAGCATGATAAAGATGCCCAAATTAATAAAAACTGACATTACATGGAGAGGTATTGGAGGGTGGGCGGAGCTATACAAGAGGGAGAAGTCATGATCAGTCTGACATACGGAGGAAAGTGCCTCTCAGCACTAAAATATTGTATAATTATACTATTACTATCATAAAGTTATCTACCTATCATATTTATTCCAGAATAATATTAGGTATAACATAAATAACATAGAAGCATGATAAAGATGCCCAAATAAATAAAGACTGACATTACAGTATGTAATGGTAGGTAGTAGGTTGGTAGACAGCAACCACCCAGGGACTGTGAAACAGAAACCTGTAACTGTTTTGCATGATGGTAGGATTGCTGGTTTCTTTTTCTGTCTCATAAACATGCTAGATAACAGGGATATCTTGCTACTCCTACTTACACTTTGGTCACACTTCACAGACACGTACATGCATATATATGTACATACAGCTAGGTTTTTCCCCTTTTTCTAAATAGCTCTTGTTCTTCTTTATTTCTTCTGTTGTCCATGGGGAAGTGGAAAAGAATCTTTCCTCCGTAAGCCATGCATGTCGTATGAGGCGACTAAAATGCCAGGAGCAATGGGCTAGTAACCCCTTCTCCTGTAGACATTTACTAAAAAAGAGAAGACGAAAAACTTTGTAAAACTGGGATGCTTGAATGTGCGTGGATGTAGTGCGGATGACAAGAAACAGATGATTGCTGATGTTATGAATGAAAAGAAGTTGGATGTCCTGGCCCTAAGCGAAACAAAGCTGAAGGGGGTAGGGGAGTTTCGGTGGGGGGAAATAAATGGGATTAAATCTGGAGTATCTGAGAGAGTTAGAGCAAAGGAAGGGG